AAAAAAAAAAAAAAAAAAGAATCAGGAAATATTAAGGCAAGATGTACTTACAAACTGTTCATTAATTTTGAATTAATATGAAATATGGGAAAAAATTAAAAATGAGCAAAATGGGATAATGGCCAAATATACTTCAGGACATCTACAAATGATACAAAATTAAGATGCAAGATTTTCAAAAAGCTGATGATACCATGGAAAAATATGATCTACATAGTATTAAGTTAAAATGACAGAACATAGAACTGTACAGAAAAAAGTATGATCTCAATTCTAAGTATGTTTGTATACCACACACATACACTCACACAAAGAACGCAGCAACTGTTGTAGCAGAAAAGACAGTTAATGTTGAAAGAAGGGACTCTTATCGCTGTACTTCTTATCAAAGTTTGTTAAATTAAACTTTCTCTGCTTTAAAGTACTCAAAAAAGAATCATAATAATCATCTCTGTTCATACTTACCAGATCAATATTTTGCATTATGTCCTGAAAGGAAGGGTGAGTTCGAAATTGTTCAAAGAGATCTCGTTTGTAAAGCAGTGCATACACCAAGTTTGGGTTGTGATGAAGAGAATTTGTCAGGCAGGAATTGATGATCTCTAACATCATTCGAATCACTTCTTCGATGACATTTAGGTCTTGTGCCTTATAAAGAAAGCAAAACCCCACAGAAAATCAGCATTTTTATCCTTGAAATAGAAATATCAGAACAAAAGTAATTCTTTTAAAATTATAACAGCATTAGAAAGATTATCATTATTTCAGCATCTTTACAATTAGGTGTATTGGTTACTAAGGATGAGAGTTAAAATCTCTTGAACTCAGTGTACTGAGAATTAGGATATTTCAAATAATAAATTATAAATACATAGATGTCTATAATTCATGAAGTCCTTTTTTGTATGCTCCTGACTGTTTTGCTCTAAAACACTAGATTTCTTCAGTGAAAAGTGGTGGGAAAGCCTTCCTCATCTCAAGAAAAGTGCCTAAATCAGAATATTACCTTATTTCCCTAAACTGTCATTTCAATCACTATACTTATAGTGAAGTAAGTAGTCTATGGTTTTGTCTCTGTTTCCCCAGAGATAACAGATTTTCAAAAGCTGAACATAAAATAGTTATTAAGGCAGCAAAACTCAAAGTAGGCAATCAAAGGACTCTCTTAGCAGAAAGAACAACTGCAAGTGCCAAGGTAAATATAAGGTGTGGGTAAATATAATAGACTTTTTTCCTCCTCCTGAGCTTTCTAAACTACAAGTGATATTGAAAGCAAGTACTGTAACTAATGTGGTTCTCAATATGTAAGAAAATACCTAAGATAATGATAAACGGGGGGAGGTCAAGGGGCTTAAAGAAAGATAAGGTTTCTACACTTCACTACAATGTCCACACTAGAAGACTATGATAAATTATGTATGTATAATACCATGAACCATTAAAAATACACTAAGAGATATACTTAAAAATATCACAGATATATCGAAATGGAATTCTAAAATATGTTTAAGTAACCCACAGGAAGGCAGGGAAAAATAAAAACAAACCTCACAAAAACACAGGCAAATGAAAAAGACAGAACAGAAAATAAAACATCCTCATGCAAAAAAAAAAAAAAAATCTAGACAGAGTTTACATTCTTCACAAAAATTAACTCAAAATGGATTACAGACTTAAAGGCCGGTTTAAAGCAATACAACTGCTGGAAGACAAAAGACAATCTGGACGATCCCGAGTTTAACGACGTTCTAAAAAAACACCTTATAGCGGTTTAGATTTGTTATGTGCTGTCGAGTCAACCCTGACTCATAGAGACCCCTCCTTGGGTTTCCGAGGCAGTATCACTACGGAAGTAGGATTGCCCAACCTTCCTTCCGAGGAGTGGCTGGTGGCTTTGAACTGCCGGCCTTCTGCACAATGCCTAAGGCACTTGACTGCTAACCAGAAGGCTGACGGTTCAAACCCACCAGCCACTCCTCGGAAGGAAGGTTGGGCAATCCTACTTCCGTAGTGATACTGCCTCGGAAACCCAAGGAGGGGTCGCTATGAGTCGGGGCCGACTCGACGGCATATAACAACAACAACAAAAGCGGTTTAGATGAAAGTTTACACAGAAAATTAAGTTCTCATTTAACAATTCTTATTCACCTTGTTCCATGGTGATGGTGACACTTTTCACAATGTGTCAGCATTATCACCGGTTCCATTCCTTCTATTCTATTTCTGTTATCTAGCCTTCCTGCCTCTTTTTAGCAGGGCATCTTTGTTTTAGGGTAAATGTGGACATTTGGTCTCCAGCAGTTGATTAAGGGAGCACAGTGTGTAGGCTGATAAAAGCCAATCTGTTATTTGGATGAAAGGTGACCACCGGGAATGCCTTTAGCTCCAAGTTCAAAGGGTATTTTAAATAGGGTGACGGTCCCAGGGGCTTCTTTAATCTCTATTGATCTGGCCTTTTTAAGGACTTTGAGTTTTGTTCTACTTTTCTCCATTTTAAGGAGGACCTTCTATCATGTCCCTCATTAGAGAAGTCAGCAGTGGTAACCAGGCACCAACTACTTCTTCTGGTCTCGGGCTTGAAGAGGCTGTGGTTCCCTCAGGCCATTAGTCCTAGGGACTAATTTCTTTCTTGAGTCTTTGGTTTCCTTCACTCTCCTTTGCTCCAGATGGGAGAGAGAACAGTTGTATCTTAGATGGCCACTTACAAGCTTTTAAGACCCCAGATGCTACTCATCAAACTAGGATATAGAACATTATCTTTACAAACTATGTCTGTCAATTGACTGAGTGTTCCCATGAGACTATGGTCCCAAGCCTTCAAACCCAGTAAACCAATTCCATGAGGTGCTAGGTTATATCTTGGTAACTGTATGTAATTGTACTCTCTATGTGGTTTTATTCATAATATGAAATTTGGCCTTGGTGACAGAAATAATGCTGGAACTCGTATGGTAGAATTTTGCAAGACCAACGACTTGTTCATTGCAAACACCTTTTTTCAAC